TTAATAATAAATTTAAATTAAAAAAAAATTATATTAAGATTTAATTGCAAGTATTAGTACGCATAGTATTAAATTTCATGTTGGTTCTTTTCCAGTCTCTCCAAAGTGTCTGGTAAATACATCGGCCTTTGTCTGAAGCATTGAAATGGGAACCATTTCAGCAAGGCTTCATTAATATCACTGTGTTCTTCCTTTCTTAATTTTTATCTCGTATCCAAATTTCTCCCTTGAGAAAGAATTATATAAATTCGATTTTTTAATGCAGTATTAATTATTTTCTCCAACGGCGGGCTCTAGTTGCTTATAGGCATTGGTCAATATTAAAGCCGGAAGCTGGTCTCTTTATTGTGAAGGCACTTAACAGGTGGGCTACTGTTGCCTCCCTATGAAGGGACGGACAAATTTTACCTTTGCCTTCTCCGAGATTCGAACCCGAGTCCATTTTCCATTTTCCAGTTTCCTTTAAGGACACAATCATTTCCTCCAACATATGTATAATACCAACATAGAAGTTTAATAACCTTTATAAATAATATCTTACGTCTTGCAAAAGACATAATGAATGCAAAACCTTTATTCTGAGGATAAAACTGGGAAAGAATTTGTACTCAAACAAAACAAACCAGTAAAAATAAAAAATTTTCATTTCCTATAAGGAATTCCCAAAATTTTTCAAAATTAAAAAAAATTTTCATTTCTAAAGGAAATACCTAAAAGGAATTTCCTATTTGTATCATACCATAAGCCTTGAATAATGTTTTATCTAGCAGCTAAATTTCAATGAAATCAGAGAACCTCTTCAAGTTTCGTGCAATTATCCATATCTTGTCCAGTTATGCCTATTGTATCTGCTTTCTCACGGATTTGGCTATTATATTTATCTCGCATAGCCACCGTTTATAAAATAAGAGAAAAGTGGGGGGGGGTGAATGGAGTAATAGAATATGGATCATAATATCCTAAACTTGAATGGTTTCAATGGTTAATAATTGATTTTGTAGAAATTCTGGAAAGATATAAAGAATGGAGAAAAGGGTTTCAATAGAAAACACACATATAGTTCGTTATATCCAATTTGCATACTCTTGAGATTCGTTATAAAAGTATCAAACAATTTTATGCGTATAAAAAACTAGACGGCACCAAAATGTTCTTTCGTTATAACGAATGTAACGAATGTAAGCTGGGCTCGTTATAGTCAGGGTCGAATGTACTTGTTTATTTTGTATAAATGTGAAGAATAAAATGACGTCTTCCATATACATGACAAACATTTATTTAAGCTATGAAGATGTTGAACAGCAGAGTAGAAACATGATATTACACAGCGCTTAGCACTTCTCGCTTTCATGCGATACTCACCATTGACTTTGACTAATTGCGTAGAAAAGTATTACGCAGCAGAGAACTTGCTTATCATGCGCATGCGTAGAGGAATCAACGGCGGTTGCCCACATACCCCCTTTCGACGTTGATTCTCCTATTCCTGAAAAGTAAAACAAAATACATATTAAACAGTATTCAATCCTATAATTGTACAACAGTTTTGATGTTTAACAGGGGTCAGGGGTTTGGTTAACACATCAGCTCCCATTTCACTGGTAGGTATGTACTGCACATCCAATTCACCGCGTTCATATACTTCAGGCACAAAATGATAGCGAATGTCTATGTGCTTTGTACGGGAGTGAAACACCGAGTTCTTTGTAATTTTCTCAGCTCCTTGACTGTCGCAGTATATTGTTGTTGGGTTTTCTATGTTGTAACCCAGCTTCTTCAGGAAATGACGTAGGTAGACGGTTTCTTTGGCGGCCTCAGACAAAGCCATGTATTCCGCCTCCGTTGAAGATAGAGATACACTGCCTTGTTTTCGTGATTTCCGAGTTATGGCTGAACCACTTAATATATATACAAAACCTGTGTAGGATTTTCGATCATCGACATTTGATGCCCAGTCTGCATCCACAAAGGCGATGAGTGGTTTTCCTGTTTTCGTATAAATTAGTCCTTGATCTTGGGTTCCCTTTAGATATCGAAGTATTCTTTTCGCAGCATGCCAATGTTCTTTTTCCGGATTGTTGTTAAATTGACTTAAGAAATTCACGGCGTATGTGATATCTGGCCTAGTAGCTACTGAAAGGTACATTAGTGATCCGATCAGATTTCTAAATGGAACATTTTTCATGTCAGTGATTTCGTTTTCGTTTTTAGGACTCATCTCTTTTGATAATTTTTTGCTATTATCTATAGGTGAAGACGCGGATTTAGCATTTTGCATATTATAACGATTTAAAATATCATCAACGTATTTCTTTTGAGAAATTTTAATTGAATTCTCATTTTGGTAAAATTCTATTCCTAAGCAATAATGTAATTTCCCCAAGTCATTCATTAGGTCATTCAGTTTAGCTTCTGCTTTCATTTTGAAAGCAGAAGCTAAAATATCGCGAATTGTTTCATACGTTGCTTGGAATCGGTGAAAACGATAAGATCGTCTACATAAACAATTATAATAGTTTCACTTTTAGGCGACTTTTTAATATAAGCACAATTACCTTAATTAAGAGATTTAAATTTCATATATCTTCATTTTTCATCCAACCTTTTTGTACCACTGACGTCCTGACTGTTTAAGACCGTATAATGATCTCTTTAAAAGACACACTTTATCTGAATTAGTTTCATCGCGAAAACCTTCGGGAATTTCCATGTAGATTTCTTCATCTAAATTTCCATTTACATAGGCCATTACAAAATCTAATTGGTAACCTTTGAGATTGTGTTCTACTGCGTAGGCTAAAACTGTTCTTATGGAACTTAATCTAGCAACAGGGGAAAAGTTTTCAGTGAAATCGAGACCAGGGATTTGAGCGCACCCTTTAGCAACTAGCCTAGCTTTGTATTTTTCGATAGTGCCGTCGTGATTATATTTTAATTTAAGAACCCATTTACTACCAATAACTTTCTTGTTTTCAGGTCTTTTTACTAATTTCCAAGCTTTTTCTTGGAAAAGCGAGTTATATTCTAACAGCATGGCATTATGCCAATTTTCGGCATATGGTCCATTTAATGCTTTTGGCACCGTAGGATTAATGCTTTTCTCAACCACATTTTGAGTTTGTTCATTTTTATTTACCACTGTATAGTGATATTCCTTTTTAGGCCTTCCTGGCAAACCTGTTTTTATTTTCTTGGATCCAGGTGACAGGTGACAGGTGACGGAAGACGGGGACGCCTGGTGTTTAACAGTGGTAAACAGGCATATGTCCCACGCCTTCCCCTGTGTAGAAGCAGCAACTTTAAATTAATAAAAGTATTTACAGTGCAACAAGAGCAGATGAGTGATTGTGTTACATTGCAGTTCAGGTTACATTAGCATGTCATAAATAATCAAGTGCAAGACATAAAGAGAAAGGGTCTTAAATTAAAAAAAAAAAAAAAAAGAAAAGAAAAGAAAACAACACGTTAATCACATAAACATAAGGCGTAATTAGATGCCAGTAATATGCCAATACTCTTCACTCAATACATAAACTTAAGCATATTGCCAATGCATGATGATAGTGTTGTATATTGGGAATACTGAGGTATCTAGAGATTCTATACTTACTACAGGGTGTACAGACAGTGAACAAAAGCTTAGTAAAAACATGATACTTGATAAAATACAGGACAAAATACATGATACAATACATGAGACACGGAATACATTGATAAAATACAAGAGACATGAAATACATTGATAAAATACATGAAACATGATGCAACTTTAGAAATAGTACACAACACTAAAAATGTGATATACAGAGCGGAATACGTATACAAAGGTATTAACAGAATACAAAACAGAAGATAGTGCATTAAAGATTTATGTACAATGGATATATACACAGAATACCCACACAGGTGACAGGTGACGGAGGACGGGGACGCCTGGCGTCTAACAGAGGAAACAGGCATATGTCCCACACCCTCCCCTATCCAGACGCAACAATTACACATTACATATTAATATGATACATAATTAAGCACACACATTTGAAATACATGACAAATAAATATACATAGAGAAAACACAGTTCAACACAAAATATACAAAACATAACAGTACAATGATACAAAGTACACACAATACGACATTAAACAGCATAAAACATATAAGGTGCACAGTTATAGTGGCAGTTCAGTATAGTTTCAGGGAAAGTACTTTACAGTGGCAGTAGTACTAGGCACATTGCGCAGAATGTAGAATGTACGCAATACCCACAAGTGAAACACTAGCGGTATACAGCATGCAGTATGTGTTGTTGCACAGTTTGTTAAGGCAGAATGCAGTCACTGAGACCATTATGAATAGCACTGTTTTATAATGGGAGGCAAAGGTCTTGGCCGTAGGCCTTAATGGTGTTAACGATTTTGCACACTGTGTTGATTGCCGCTTTATTTTTAAGGATAAACTTGTGGAAGGCAGGTATGTTCGTGGGTTCCGGGAAATGGTGCTGTTCTGTGAGTGGGCACCGGAAGATATAGTGATCGGGTGTCCCCTCTTCCCCGCATACACAGCGATCCGTATTAGAAATAGTGCGTCTGTTGAAGTAGTCCGGGAAGGGACCGTGCCCAGTTACAAAGTTAGTAAGTGGAGCGTTTGCTATGAGTCTCTCCGTTGTCACCATCGGTAGAAAACCATACACTCTTCTTCCTGTGTTTCCATGTTCCCATACTCTTTGCCACCACTGGACTGCTGCGCCTTTCAGCAGTCTTTTAAGATGGGAAGGTGGCGCCGGAACAGCGATGGGACGTGCGTTGATGTTTGAGGCTGCCTCTTTGGCGAGCACGTCCGCTGCCTCATTACCTGCATTGCCTTCGTGAGCTTTCACCCACGTCATGTCCACGTGTACCTGTGGGTTATCTTTTAAGAGTTTTGAAGGCGGATGATCAACGGGGAAACATGGTTGTGTTTGCTTAGGGCCAGCAAGGCAGACATACTATCCGTATAGAGATTATCCGTAAGCTTTTGAGATTTTTCGGCTTATTAGATATTCAACAGCAGCTGTAATTGCTATCACTTCGGCCTGAAAGACGCTATTGCTGTCACCTAGGTGGCCTTTCCAATGATGTAATTCTTGGCTTTGCCAACAGTGCAGGAAAGCACTGCCAACGCCTTCAGCATGTTTAGAACCATCAGTGTAAAGTGTATGGTTGCTGATGTGCTGTATTTCCTTGTTGGGCTGTTGCATGATGTGGGTGTGGACCCCTAGTCCTTTATGCGCTGGATGTGTGTGCAGCGGTGTCTTGGGGTGCTCATAAAGTGCTGGACTGTAGAGAGTACCTGCGAAGGAGGCGTCTTTCCTCAAGTGAAGGACTCTCGTATATGTCGCCTCTAGCTCGGCCTGGATGTGTAGAGGGACTATACCTGCTAGAGTAAGGGCGGAGCTCGTGGCTGTTGTGCAGTATGCCCTGCAGATGCTTATGACAAAAGGGCGTTGGAGTGATGTTAACTGCTTGATTTTCCTCGTTGTCATCGGTTGAGCCCAGATTGCAGCTGCGTACAGCGCAATCTTTTCCACCACCGTGCTATAAAGCACTTTTTGAATGTGGGGATTTAGTCCCCAATTCCTTCCTTGAAATTTCCGTGTCATTCTGGCTATAGCGGAGGTTTTTTGCTCTCTGTTGCTGCAAATGTGGCACCCATGTTAAGCCAGAGTCCCAGACCACTCCTAGATACTTCTGTGTATCCATGAATTTAATGTTGCGGCCAAGTAATCGGATACAGGGACGACGTACAGGCCTCGTGCCCGGTCTTGGGATGAGGAGTGCAGAAGACTTGGTGATAGAAATCCTCAGCTTAAGGTCTTCGCATAAGCTTGCGAACTTGGCGCACGCTTCGCTGCCATTGGCTTCAATTTCGTCTCGTGTGTGCGACCTTTAACAAGGAGAGCCGCGTCATCAGCATATGCAATGATAGTGGTGATATCAGGCCACGTCGCTTCGAGGATTTTGTTAAATGTCAGGTTCCAGAGCAAGGGCCCTGCACAGGACCCTTGTGGGCAGCCTCTGACTTGGGTCTTAGTAACAATGCCATTATTGCTTGCCATAAGTAATTGCCTATCTGTGAGATAACTCTCAAAGACTTGGTAGATGTTCTCCGGGCATTGCGCCTCTCTGAGGGCCTGCTTGATGGCGGGCCACCAAAGGGTGTCGAAAGCGCTCTGGAGGTCTATTGAGATGAATGCAGTCTGAAGATTCTGTGAGCGATTAAGCTGGACTTCATCATATATTCGTTGAAGGGCATGTGTGGTTGAGCAACCTGAACGGAAGCCATATTGCTTGGGACTGAGGAAGTTGTTTTTTTGTGAATATGATACTTCAGCCTGTTAACTATGATCTTTTCATAGATCTTACCCAACGCTGAAAGGAGACAGATCGGACGAAAGGAGCAGGGGTCTATTGGGTTCTTATCTTTTTTGAGAAAAAGTACCACGTGTCCCTTCTTGAAAGCTTGTGGAAATACTCTGTGGTGCAGGAGTTTATTGAAGTAGAGGCGAAAGAAGGTGGGCCGTGCTCGGAAGGCGACCTTTAAGATTGCATAATCAAGTCCGTCCGGACCCGGTGCCTTCTTCAGTGGTAGATGGCGGAAGATGTGAGTGATTTCCTGCATTGTAATGGGGACATCTTCTGGCGTTCTTGGGATCTCTGTGGAGTTTCTCAAAAGTCGCTGGGCCGTCGTGTCATCCTGTTCTGGATCCGCTGGGAAGATTGCATCAAGCAGTGCTGTGGCCGTGGACCCTGCTAAGTCAATTGTTTGTGGTAGATTCCCTGGCTGCACTGGCACTTGTGCCGGCTGGAAGATTTTCTGCGTGGCCAGTTTATGCAGGATTCCGTAAGGATTGCTATTGCTGGTACAAAAATTGCGCCAGCTGTTGATTTTGGCTTCTAGAATTGCTTTTTTATAAGTAGCCCGTGCTTGTCGGAATGCAGTTAGCAACCTTTCCGTTTCTGTGCCGTCTACAGCCGTTCGGAGACGGCGACGTAATGCTCTGCACCTTTGGCGCATTTGTCTCAGCTGCCTAGTCCACCACGTAATGCCTTGCAGTTTCTTGGCAGTCCTGATTGGTAGAATTCGCTCGCATGTGTCCTTGAGAGTGGTGAGAAGATTATCTGTGTAGATATTCATATCATACTGGTCATTATGCGTATTAAGCTCCATCTCTTCTCTTCTGAGAGTTTCGCTGAGAATGCGATGCAGATGCCTAATCTTGCCACCCGGAAGCTTAAACCTTTTTTAAAATGCTAATGCTGGTGTCTACTTGAATGAGGAAATGGATGTACTTATGATCGGAATTGCTTTCATCATCCATGACAGTCCAAGAGTAAATATTGTTGACAATGTCCGATGTTGAAAGGGTCAAGTCGGGCCAGCCTTTATGATACGAGTTGTCAAATGTCGGCTGTGCACCGGGGCTGTTATGCAAATGCAGGTTATTGCTCGCCATGAAGTTTTCCATTTCGTGGCCCTTAGGAGTCGTGTCACGGTAGCCCCAAATGACGTTGTGGGCGTTGAAGTCGCCTCCAATGATGTGTGGTACCGTAGGACATTTCAGTCTAACGTGATTGTATGCTGTAGTTGCGTCAGTGAGGTCATCACTGGGGGAGGAATAAACGGAGCTTAGTATGAACTGTTGATTGTTAAAGATAACTAGTACGGAGACGAAATCTCGTTCCATTGAAACCAGGAAAGGTGTCCAGGTAGGGTTACAGCAGGCAATGGCTGCTCTGGGTGCCTGCTCTGCTGTGGATTTCCTTTGGAAGATCTTCCATGCCAGGGGAAAACTTGCCACCTGGCCTTCACGGCAGTATGGTTCCTGGATTAGAAGAAAGTCTAAATTATGATGTATTGCATGTTGTATGGCTTGGGTTGAGGCAGCTTCTGCTCTCTGCAAATTAATTTGAGCGCATCGTATGGGTGTCTGGTGCTGGGTGGTTTCCACTTTTTTTGTTTCTGGTCGATCTTCAGTGGGTGTATTTTTCGTTTTGTGTGGCGTCCATGCTGGTGCGGAGGTACTTGGTCGTTGTGCGTTATTCGTAGATTGTGCTTCGTCGGATTCGCTCAACATACCGTGCATAGGTTGGGCATCGGATGTCGTATGCTGGATGGTTGCAGGGCATTGTACTATGTGTTCGGAAATTTGTATCTGCGCAGTTGATACAGGTGGGCTGGCATGCGTGGCAGTCCTTGATGCTGTGGTTGCCCGAACAGAAGGCGCAGTAGATTTTATTCGTGCAGCCTTGTTGAGTATGACCGAACTCTTGGCATCGGAAACATCTCTTAGTATTGAAGTGTTCCGCGATGCGGTGTTCTCGCCAACCAATGAACAATTTGGGCTATTGGAGGAGACTTCGGTAAGCTGCCGGCTGGCACTCCACGATCCATTTAACAGCATTTCTCTGTTTTTGAGGCGGTAGAGGATCTTTGCTGATGCTATGGATAGATGGAACTTGGAGCTGAACGCTTTTTCCAATTCCTCTGGCTGGACATCAGGTGACACACTGTGTATGGCCACTCTCAGTAATCTGGTATGTGGTTTAATCTGGTCTGTGGTTGTCTGATCTTGACCAGATGTCGCCCCTGTTTGCTCTGTAGGGTGTTGAATAATTTCGTTGCGTCTGCTTTGGTTACGCAGTCTACCGCTAATCCTCCCTTCTGCAGGTTCCGGATGGTGCTAATTTGACTCCCAGCTTTTGTAGTGGAAATTTCTCGTTGAGGACTGTTTTCAGGTCTTTTGCTAGAGGTTGCTGTATTCTCTGTTGGATAAATGAGAATAGTATGCTTCAGCTTCGGGGCGGCAACTTGTGCGTAAGATTTAAGCGCGTGTGCTGTTGGAAGCTGCCGTCTGTATGGTGATCGGTGCTGTGAGAACTTCTTCCTCAGTGTTCACACCTATTTCAGTAGTAGGCCGAGGGTTATCGCTGTCTGGACCCTGTAGGGCCAGCTCTCTGAGTGCTTCTATTATAAATCTTATTTGGTCTCGTAAGTCAGCTGGAAGTACTGCTCGTTTGCCGCACTTTGTTTTGCTGATGCGCAGAGCCTCGTCTGCAAATGAATGAATCTTCTCCGAGTAGCTTAGAGTGTCTCTCTGGGCTGGATTTGTAAGGTCGAGGTCCCTTGCTAAAATGGAGTTGTCACTTTCTTGCATATTTCATCAATTGCTTAGTTGCAGGAGAAAGTAAATTATAATCACTTTGTCGCTGAGAACACTGTTGTGAACACTTGAGCTGTGTGCTAAACACAGATTGGGTAGAATACTGTTGCAAATACTTATACACTTGAACACAGAGCACTTTTATAAACACTTGGGATGTGTGCTAAACACTGATTGCCCGGAACACTTTTGCTAACACTTGCACAGTATATTATCACAGTATGACATTTGTACACTTTAACACTTCGGCACTAAATTAGTGTTGCATTATGCACTACACATTATTCTTGGTGATCGTGCACATAGTTACACTATTTAAGCAATTATTACACAGTTACACTATTTAAGCAATTAAATACCCTATTTAAGCAATTGTATACAATTTGTACTACACTAATCACTAAGGTTACTGTGGTGCAGATAAAGTTTTGATTACTTGAACACTGAATTAATGTGGCACTCTATACTTAATATATTATTGTCATCGCTACCTTGTATATTGCACAGAAGTGAAAACACTGTTGAGCACAGTAGATATGCGAACCAAGGTGCAGTGAAGATAAATGTTAATTAAGTGGTACCGATAATCACAAATAATTAATTAATTTGAATAACTAAAGTTAGATCATTACTTTCACAAATGCCAGTTAATACATTGTGATTGATATAACGTTATCAGAATGCAAGAAAAATACAGCAATTATACTTGAGTACAGATATAGGAGAACTGAGATACATAGCAAATTGGAGTAAATTTGGTAGAACCGATAAGTACAGATAATTAATTAATTTATTTAAGCGAAAACCTAATAGTCTGGTTTCTCTAGAAGTCTGTATACTATTCGTCACTTAAGGATGACCAGTAAATTTAATGTAGTTAAATAGCAGATATTTGCGGTAATTGGGAGACGAGATAATTAATTATTGCTGCTAATTAAAAAATTAAAGAACGAAAGGCCTACCTTGGCCGTTATGTTTCTTCTGTTTTCATCTGTTGCTTGCACTGCAGGTAATCCAATGTAATCCGATTGAGAAAAACACACTCACACTGCACTGTATAATATCGCAAAAATTGAAGAATTTCTTAAGTCCCGAAAATTGCTGAAGAAATTAGTAAATTCAGAAGTTATTGACGGATTTTCTCCAAATTTTGAAACTTCCACTTCCTGGGGCTTGAGTTGAAGAATGCCGTTTATTCCAGAATGCTACGCCAATTAGGGGCTTAATTAGCAGGCTGATTAGTATTACTCCAGTACCTCTTGTTTACCTTTGTAGACTGGTTTCAATTCGAGGAGGACGACGGGGGGTAGATGACATCCGGTTGACCGTCGGAGTGGGAAAAGGTCAGAGTTCACCAAATTAAAACGTGGTAAATCATATAAAAATTAATTTCGCGACTTCTAATTATCTCACTGCTATGAAATTACCATCAAAATACT